ACATGGCAGTGTGTTTTGTTTGCTTTCTCCCCTTCACCCGCATTTGGCATTTCTCCCCAGGCTATCCGTCCCCACCTCCTCCTCCCACTGGCCCTCCCCTTTTCCTCCCAATAGACTCCCCTCTCTGTGTCCATGTGTTCTCATTTTTCATCACCCGCCTATGAGTGAGAATTTGCGGTGTTTCATTTTCTCTTCTTGTGTCAGTTTGCTGAGAATGATGTTCTCCAGATTCATCCATGTCCCTACAAACGACACGAACTCATCGTTTCTGATTGCTGCATAATATTCCATGGTGTATATGTGCCACATTTTCCCAATCCAGTCTATCATCAATGGGCATTTGGGTTGATTCCAGGTCTTTGCTATTGTAAACAGTGCTGCAATGTTTCTATGTATGTTTTAAAACATAATATTTTAGTCAGAGCTTTGGTAATTCCCAAGGATCTTCCTTGACTTTATATCAGTCAACTTTCATTTTTTAAAACTATCTGGTAATAAGGAATCTCAGATTGGACCTTTAAAAACCTCTCTAGGCTAAGAAATCAAGCCAAGGCCTTGCCCAGTTGTGTTCTAAGGAGAATAGATTCTTATTGAGTCTATGCAAAAACCCATATTGCCATGAAAATATGAATATTCAATAAGAGTTTCAAAATTCTGGAGTGATCTGGTAGGGAGGAAAAGATACAAATATTCCATTTTTGCATATACAAGTTCATTTTATCAAATAAGATATAAATATTCCATTTTTGCATATACAAGTTTATTTTATCAAATATAGGTTATAGATAGCTTAAGAGAAAAGAGAAAGAGTTCCTTAGATCTGAAGACATTAAAGAACCAGCAACATTTCAAAAAGTCAAAAAAATTATAATTATCCTCATCTGTTAATTCAGTCCCATATAATTAGTTGCTGTTTTACTTGATATTTGGTAGCAGTTTTTTTTTTTTTTTTTTAAGACAGGGTTTCACCATGTTGGCCAGGATGGTCTCGATCCTCTGACCTCATGATCCGCCCACCTTGACCTCCCAAAGTTCTGGGATTATAGGCGTGAGCCACAGCCTCTGGCTTTTTTTTTTTTTTTTTTTTGGGTAGCAGTTTTTTGAATCCATCAGTTTTCCATTAGAGTTTTGGAAATTCTTACCCAGTCCAATAGTATGATCTTAAAATTATCAGCAAGCTGTACTTGTCAGAGTCCTTTTCATGAATTTCTTATGATAATATCATGCAACTGGGCCAGGCATGGTGGCTCATGCCTGCAATCCTAGCACTTTGGGGGGCCGAGCCAGGTGGATCACTTGAGCTCAGGGGTTTGAGACCAGCCTGGCCAACATGGTGAAACCCCGTGTCTATCAAAAATACAAAAATGCTAGGTGTGATTGCACATGCATTTAGTCCAAGCTACTTGGGAGGCTGAGGCACAAGAATTGCTTGAACCCGGGAGGCAGAGGTTGTAATGAGCTGAGATTGCACCACTGCGCCGTAGCGGTGGGCAACAGAGCAAGCCTCTGTCTCAAGAAAAAAAAAGTATGCAATTGACAAAGAAATGTGGTTGTTTTGGTGCACATACAAGATTTTAAGATAATGATTAGAATGATAACTGATAACATTATAATTAAGACATCAGATTTTTAGGAATTTCATATAAATTTGAAATGTTTATAATACATAATTATATGATTTGGAACATTCATACACCTAAATATAATTTAAGAAGGGTAAATGCCACCTATATTTGGCAATGCTTTTTGGGCAATTTAACATATCAAATAAGCCTGATTAGTTTAACATCTCCCTAGGAAAATAAAATTTTAGAACTGTTGGAACTCCCAAAATACTGAAAGTCCTTACAGAGATATGACCGTGATCTGAATCATGTAACATGCAATTATGATCCATGTTTCTTAGATTACAGATTAACTTTTTCATTGTTCTTATTCTGTATATGACTAGGAGAGACTAGAGACGAGGCCTCTTCCTTTTTGAATCACTGATTTTTGTTACATATAGGTTAATTGCCTCCTTTATTCTTTTGTACCTAACTCAGACCAGATGGTACAACAGACCCTATGACTGTTAAATTTTGAGTGTGGAATGTTAAATGTACGTTTTCTCTTAAAAAAAAAAAAACCATCTTGTTTAATCAGATTGTTATAAGTAGGCATTAAGCCTCATATAAAAAGATATTAAAATTTCATTATGCTTCCCTAAACTTTGTCTATATAAATAATCCCAGCATCCACACTTCAAAACACAGACTTCCGTTATCTGAAGTTCGTGTATCCTAGGTGGCTATTCTCAAACTTTATGCTTAAATAAACTGTCGTTAAACTAAATTTTAACGCTTTTGATTATTTTAGGTTGACATCTCTTTTTATAAGAAGAGGAAATATATTCACTTGAGATTTTCTAGGGACCTAGACATTCCCAATGTTAATTTGGGGTTAAAAAGATTTAATTTAGAATTTGATTCTGGGAAGCCATCAAAACTGTCAAAGGTTTAAAAGACTCAGTTAAACAGGATTACAGGTCAGTGTAAAACAAGAGTACAGAAGATCGTAAAGGCAAGCAGAGGTTTTGTAGAAAACCCTCAGCTTGTTTAACATTGAAAAGACTCACTTTAAAAAATAATCAGAGTTCATAAAAAACAGCACGAAGTATAAGAAATTATATTGAAAAACCACAAAATGTTTATTTACTCAGCTAATTTCTTAAAATTAAAGGTAAAGAAGAAAAAATTTTGATAACCAATAGTAGAGCAATACTCCTAGAAAACTTTGTCCTTTTAACAGACAGAAAACCAAATTCTAACTTTACATCAGTAGATTACTGTGTTATTATTTTTTAAAAAACCCTTATAGATAAAATCTGTGTTATCTTAATAGTTTGACCATGATAAAGTGACTTTCTTATTCTTTTTCTTTTGTTTCCTCTGACTGTGTATTTTCAAATAGCCTGTCTTCAAGCTCACTACTTCTGCTTGATCAATTCTTCTATTAAAGACTCTGATGCAGTCTTCAGTATGCCAATTGCCCCACGGTTCTTTCGAAATATTTCAGTGTCATTGTTAATTTGTCTGATAGAATTGTGAATTCATTCTCTGTGTCATCTTGAACTTTTTTATTTCCTTAAAACAGCCATTTTGAATTCTCTGTCTGAAAGGGCACATACCTGTGTTTCTCAGGACTGGTCCCTGGTAGCTTATTTAGTTGATTTAGTGAGATCATGTTTTCCGGGATGGTCTTGATACTAATAGATGTTTGTCTGTGTCTGGGCATTGAAGAGTTAGGTATTTATTGTAGCCTTCAGAGTCTGGGCTTGTTTGTAGCCACCCTTCTTGGGAAGGCTTTCCAGATATTTGAAAGGGCTTGGGTGCTGTGATCTAAGCTGTGTCTGCTTTAGGGCACACTCCAAGCCCAGTAACACTGTGGTTCCTGCCTACTCGTAGAGGTACCACCTTGATGGTCTTGGACAAGATCTGGAAGAATTCTCTGGATTGCCAGGCAGAGACTCTTGTTCTCTTTCCTTTCTTTCTCTCAAACAAATGAAGTCTCTCTATGTTCAGAACCACGTGGAGCTTGAGGTGGAGTGACACTACCACCCTGTGTCCACCACCACTGGGACTGCTCTGGGTCAGACCTGAAGCTGCACAGCACTGGGTCTCACGCAAGGCCTGCTGTAAGCATTCCCTGGTTGCTGTGTTCACCCAAAGCCCTGGGGCTCTACAATCAGCAGGGGGCAAAGCCAGCTAGGCCTGTGTCCTTCCCTTCAGGGCAGCAAGTTCCTCCAGGGCCCAGAGGGGTCCAGAGGTGCCATCCTGGAGCTAAGGACTAGAGTCAAAAACCTTAGAAGTTTACCTCGTGTTCTGTTGTACTTGGCTGAGCTGGACCTCAAACCACAAGCCGCAGTCCTTCCTACTCTTCCTTCCCCTTTCCAAAGGCAGAGGAGCCTCACCCCCTGGCCACCACCACCACAGTACCAATGTTCCCCTAAGGCCCAGGGTCTCTTCAGTTAGCCTGTGGTGAATGCTGCCTGACCTAGGGCTCACCCTTCAGGGCAGTGGGCTCCTTTCTGGCCCAGGAGAAGTCTAGAAATGCTATCCAAGAGCCAAGTCCTGGAATCAGGGATCCCAAGAGCCTGCTTGGTGTTCTACCTGCTGGGGCTGAGCTGACCTAAAGTGCAAGGCAAAGTTCCCTTTACTTTTCCCTCCACTTTTCTCAAACGTAAGGAGTCTTGCCCCATAGCTGGTATAGCTGGTAATGTGCTGAGTCTCATCTGAAGCCAGCAAGTCTCAGAGTTTTACCCAAGGTCCTCGGCATAGTACCTGGGTATTGATGCTGGTTATTCAGGGCCCCAAGACTCTTCAGTTAGTAGTGATGAATCCTGCCGGGGCTGGGTTGCTCCCTTCAAAGCACCAGGTTATCTTCTGGCTAGGGTAGGTCTAGGAATGTTGTCTGTGAGGTAGGGGTCTAGAAAAGGGCCCAATTAACTCTGACCAGTGCCCTGTTCTGCTGTGGCTGAGCTGGTATCCGAGATGTGAGACAAGGTCCTCGCCACTCTTCCCTCTCCTCTCCTCATGCAGACAGAAAGGGTTTCTTTTGGAGCTGTGAGCCTTGCAGCCTGAGGTCAGGGGAGGAGTGATGCCAGCACTCCCTCAGCCATCCCAGCTTATGTCTCAGAAAGTTGTGTGCCTCCGCAGTCCACTGGCTTTGGGCTCAGTTCAGCACTAGGACTCGCCTAGGAGTTGCAGTGCTTGTGGCCTAGATGGCCTTTCAAGCTTCTTTACAGCCCCAGAGCACTTGAGCCCATGGTGGTGAGGCTTGCAGGGACTCAAGCTCACACTGCTGGATTGGCCATTCCCCTGTGGCTAGGGCTGCTTTACATGCTCCCCCCATGGGTGGACATTAGCTGAGTTTGGCTTGGTTTTGTGTTCTGCTGTAACAGGGCACCACTGAGTTCAGTATTTCACAACGTCTGGTCTCTCCCTCTCCCCGGTGCATAGGAACACTCTCCACACCATGCTGCTGCTGCCGCCGCTGCTTTGGGATGCAGGGATGGCGTCAGCGATTCAAGATTGTGTTTCCTGCCTCCTCAGCTGTAAGTGCTCACCTGATTTTTGGTTCTTATGATGGTGCTTTTTTTGTGTGTAGATAGTTGTTAAATTGGTGTCCTTGTTGGGGGGGGTGGAGGGGACAATTAGTGGAGTCTTCTATTCTGCCATCTTCCTCTTCCTCAATATGCCCTTTCTTGGAAATCCTTCCTTCCTTCCTTCCTTCCTTCCTTCCTTCCTTCCTTCCTTCCTTCCTTCCTTCCTTCCTTCCTTCCTCCTTCCTTCCTTCTTCCCTCCTCTTTCTTTCTTTTCTTTTCTTTCTTTCCTTTCTTTCTCCTTCCTTCCTTCCTTCTTTCCTTTTCGTTCTTTCGAGACAGAGTCTTGCTTTGTTACCTAGACTGGAATGCAGTGGTTCCATCTCAGCAGCTCACTGTAGCCTCTGCCTCCCAGGTTCAAATGATTCTTGTGCCTCCTGGCTTCAAGCGATTCATCTGCCTTGGCCTCCCAAAGTACTAGAATTACAGGCTTGAGCTATCTTATCAGGCTGTCTTGTTTTCTTTCATCTTTATTACTTTTAGTAGTCTTTATTACACATATTAATTAGAATTCTCTTTTATTTTTATTTTTTTCAGGTGAGATCTCTGTCACGCAGGCTGGGAGTGCAGTGGTGTGATCTTGGCTCATTGTACGTCTGCCTTCTGGGCTCAAGTAATCCTCCTACTTCAGCCTCCTGAGTAGCTGGGACCATAGACATATGCCACCATGCTGGGCTAATTTTTTTTTTTTTTTGGAGGTGGAGTCTTGCTCTATTGCCCAGGCTGGAGTTCAGTGGTGCAGTCTTGGCTCACTCTAGCCTAGGTTCAAGCGATTCTTCTGCCTCAGTCTCCTGAGTAGCTGATATTACAGGTGTGTGCCACCACACCCCGCTAATATTTGTATTTTTAGTAGAGACAGAGTTTCACCATGTTGGCCAGGCTGGTTTTGAACTCTGGCCTCAAGTGATCCACCCGCCTCAGCCTCCAAAAGTGCTGGGATTATAGGCATGAACCACCACTCCTGGCCTAATTTTAAGACTTACTGAAGTGAAGCCCTAAAGGGGAAAGAGACTAGAGTCCTTTAGTCCATGTTCTTACCAAATTCAGGAACCTGCTTTACTGCAAACTTGGCAGGTGGCCTCCACCTGGCCATGCCCACTACCAGGCACTCCCTGGCACTGCTGGACAGCTCCAGCCATCACAGCGCCTTCTTGGCACGGAGCCTCACTTGGCCTCCTGGAGCCCTTGCACTGGTCCTGCACCACCCTCCATATGATATGTCTACATCCACAGGTCCCTCTGACCCCAGTTCTTCCCTGTGCCGGGCAAAGATGCCTCCTACAGGTCTGCACAGGACATGTTTCTCCTTGACTGTGTTGGGGACATTCCAGGCCCACGAGTGTCCTGAGGCCGAGAGTCCCTGTTGAGCAGAAGAGAGCTGATGGCTCTCTTGTCTGGCCAGGACTCTCTGAAGGACTCTAGCTCCAGCATTTTCTCACCAGTGACAGTGATGATTTACTTTTGACTTGGGATTTGTTTCTTTCACATGTAAAGACAGGCATGTCCTTCACAGCATGAAAGCTGCAGATTCAGAGAGGGACATCAGGTGAGGAGGTGGGAGGGATGCGTGTCACAGGTCCCCGGACGCTGTGTAGATTTCTTGGTTGGCCAATGAAAGTCCCCACGTCTCATGGAGATCCCTGTGCCCTTCCCGAGGAAGCCTCTAGTGTTAGAGATGCAGATGTTTTGTGTCTCAGTGGACAATCCAGTCCAGAAATGGGGGTGTGGAGAGGGGTGTCTGTTGCTCTTGAGCAGGAATTCCATGGCCCCAGGTATGGACTTAGGTGCTGAAGGGGGACCCAGGAGAGAGGTGAGGACTGGCGAGGGGGTGGATGGGGAGGGGCCTGGGCATGTGCGCCGGAACCAGGGCTGGCCCAGCTCTCTATAATTACCTGAGTCACCACAGACATCCCACAACCTCCACAAGGCCTGCTGACTTGACCAGAGAGGGACACATGGCTGTCTTGGCCTGTGGCTGAAAGTCTGCAGGCCCCCAGCCCTCAGCAAGGTCATTCTGGGTAGGTTTATTTTATTCTTTATTTTTTTGAGACAGAGTTTCCATCCTTTGCCTAGGCTGGAGTACAGTGGTGTGATCTTGACTCACTGCAACCTCTGCCTCCTGGGTTCAAGTGAGTCTCCTGCCTCAGCCTCCTGAGTAGCTGGGATTACAGGTGCATACCACCATGCCCAGCTAATTTTTGTATTTTCAGTAGAGATGGGGTTTCGAGACTAGTCTTGAACTCCTGACCTCAAGTGATCCGCCTCCTCCCAAAGTGCTGGGATATAGGCGTGAGCCACCATGCCCAGCTCTGGGTAGGTTTGTGTTGTGAGGCCTGATACCTGTTCTTCTCTTCTCCTTTCCTGAACCCTGTGGCCCTCTGGTGGCCTCTGTGGCTTCTTGAGCTAACCTTACCCACTCTGGGCCTCAGGTTCTGCTCCCTTAAACCTGGCTGCAGTGGGTGACACATCTCCCAGCTAAGAGTGTGTCTGCTCAGCTCTTCAGGGACCCTGTATTAGAGTGTGACAAAAACCCTATAGGAGGTGTCATACAGATGCGAGGCTTCACACAGTGCCACTCATTCCCTTCCAGAAAGACCTCCATACTCTAAGTCTTACTCCCTGAGGGTGGGGCGCCCCACATTTCTCTGGCATTTGATCTCCCTTCCCCCACAGTGGCTCTTCTCACCAAGAAGCCTTTCCTTGGCACATTGCTTGCAGCCCAAGCAGGGGTGAGGGAGAGGGGCCTGTCTCAGGGGTGTTCCTCTCTTCGGGGAGCTGTGGGCTGGCAGTATGTTGCTAAGTGGTCGTCAGCCTCCCAGCCCGGGACACCGACAGCTCCTCCTCCTCTCTTTGCGCATGGTAACTACAGGGGTGGCAGGCAAGGCAGAGAGGTTGATGGGAGGTAGCAGGAGTGAGAGCCGGCGGCATCATTTAGATCTGCGACCTTTAAGAGAAACTCTTAGAGCAATCGTTCCACCCAGTGCTAAATGTCAGATGAGTCAGCCTCTGGGTAGCTGTCACCTTCCTCCCCCAAATCTCTGGCAAAGCAGGGAGGCTGGCTTGGGGCTGCCTCTCTAACTCTGACAGCAATTGGAACCCACAGCTATCCTGCGGTCGCCCTCTAGCCCCCAATCCCAGGATGCTCGCTTCCATTTTACTCTTCACTTTTAGGGGAGGAGCCAGGATAGGGCCCAGTGTTCCCTCCCTACTCCCAAAGGACAGTATTTGTCCCCAGTCCTTTCTCCGGCCAATGCTTCTGGATTTTGGAAGTGATGCATCGAGGACACGGGTGTCTCCCGTGGAACCTCCTCCCGTGCTCACCCTGGCAATAGTGGATGAGCCTGGAGGAGACATTTCTGAAGAACTACCAGAGCTGAGAAGAAAAAGCAGACTGCACAGCTCAGCGCAGGTTCACGCAAAGCCACCTGTGTATTCCAGAGCCAGGGCCACGTGGCTCAGCCCATGTGTTGGCAGGTGAGCATGCTGTTCCAGCCAGGCGAGTCAGCACACATGGGATGTTCGCTTATTTGGGCAAATGTGTCTCCTAGGGTCATTCTGGAAAGAAGCCCAGCATCTAGTCGTTAGCCCCCAGGGGCAGGGTCGCTACTAAGTGGTTGGGGAGAAGTCAGGGAAGCGGAAGAAGAGGTGGCGTCTCCCAGCCTCATCCGTGGAGCCCCCATCGAAGTGGGGCAGGCAGGCACTGCTGGAGGAGCGAAGGCCAGGTGGACACGAGAACAGATTCCAGAGGCTTGGTTTTATTGTGCAGTTTTCTTTTTCCTCAATGAGATGCCGTAAGCTGTGGTGGAACTATACACAGTCACAGAACAGGAAGAACCGCCGGGTGGGGGCGGGGGGTTGGGAAAAGCCATTTCCCGAGAAGTGTCCGGCTCCTGGGTCTTACTCCATGGCCTGCCTCGTGCCCCACAGAGGTCCCTGAGAAGGCAGGCCTGCGGGGCAGGGGGCTGTCTGAGGGGCTCGGGCACGAGCCAGCAGGGACTGGCACTGATAGGCGAGGGGAGGAAGTGCCTCCCTTAGAAACTTGGGCCAAACCCTGTGCAGCTCTGGGACTCCACCCTATCTGACTTGGAGGCTGTGGGTCAGAGCTCTGGAAGCCCTTGGGAGCTTGGGACAGCCTGAGAGGGTCTTGCCCTCCTCTGCAGCCCTCTCCACTGCAAGCGGAGGCAGATGGGGGGCAGCAGGCCCACACTTTTAGCTTCCGTTGCCAGGGAGGGATGATGAACTCTCATCCTTTACCTCCTCCAACCCTCATCTAGCATTGCTCTCCTGGCCAAATCTGCATCTTTACTGGGTCATGCCCCAGGGCCCCTGGGGGACTTCCACATCGGTAAGGAGGGTTGTTTTTTTTTTTTTGGTTGTGGCTGAGAATGCTGGAGATGCTCAGTTCTCTCCCTCACAAGGTGGGCCACAAATTCTTGGTGGTGCCCTCACATCTGGGGTCTTTAGGCACCAGCCATGCCTGCCAAGGAGTGCTCTCCGCACAGACTATGTCTGTGCTAGGCCCAGACACAGCCCACCCACTCCTCTCTCCAGGTCTCTGGGTCTCTGGTCCCGATTGGCAAGGATGACTTCGCCAATGGCTGGTACCCCTCCATCCTACTACCCCTCACATGCTCTCACTCTCCATCAGGACCCCAATCCTGGCTTCCCTTTTCATGAACTCTCAAAGGAAAGGAAGGATAAACCCTAAATAAACCAGACAGAAGCAGCTCTGGAACAAAGAGTACAAAAAGACAGCCAGAGGTGTGCGGTGAGGGTGAGGTGCTGTGGGGGAGTAGGTAGATAATTGCATGCAGCACTGGGACTCCTGATGAGGGGTGGGGTCCCCACTTCTCCTCGAGGTGTGAGGGATTGGGGGGAGGGGGTCAGCTGACTCAGAGAAGTCGGATCTCTGCACTGGAACTTGAGGCCTCCTGTCTCCTCCATGGGCCCCACCAGTCACAGGGATATGAAATCCGTGGCCTGGAGGAGGGAGAGCGAGAGCAGGAGCAGCAGTAGCCATGAGGTGTTCTGAGCCAGCAGGCTGATGCCCTCACACTTGACCAGTTTGTCTGTGGAAAGAGAAGGGGGTTGGGGGCAGGGCAGGAAGGAAGAGGGATCAGGACTCAGGCAGGCACAGGCCCAAAGCAAGGGTGTGCTGCCCCAAGGGAGCGGGGCACTGTGATGTTTTATCTGGGACCAGGAGCAGCCTGGTCTCACAGTACCAGCCATCATTCCCACCTGCAGATTACTGACCTCTTGTACACATATCATCTTAAGAAAACCTTACTAAACATCATCATAAGAAAACTGGCTGAGGGAGGTGGTGTCGTCCCTGTTTTCCAGCTGGGGAGAAGGAAGATTGGGGAGGCCAAGGGCCTTGCCCACAGTTCTGGTGGAAGAATCTACCACACTACTCTGCCTGTCTGACTGGCCCTGAGCTCTTCACCCCATTCACACTGAAGGCAATGGTTTCCCAGTTGATCAGGTAGCAGTTGGGAGTGGGTGAGAGAGTTATACAGCTATTCTCCTCTCCAGCCCAGCCAAGGGAACTGCCTGCTGTCCCCGAGTCTGGCTCTCCCAGCTCACTTGGCCTTGTTAGGGGCTTGCCTCACCTCTGAGCACAGTGACGTTCTGGGAGGAGATGGGTGGGGAATGGCCAGAGTGGTGGAGTGCGCATGTGTAGGTCCCCTCGTCCTTGCTGGTGAAGGCGGATAAGTAGAGGACCTTCATGTTGTATTTGCTGGTGAAGTTGGTTCGGGAGCGGTATGTGTGCTCAGGCACCCCCACAGTGCCAAAGAGCACGTGCTTCTTTGTCTCACGGGTCAGGCTGAACTCGTACTGGATGGGTGAGCTGGTAGTATTCTCATGGCGGCAGTCCAGACGAAGGCTCTGGTCCACCAGGCAAGCCGTTAGGCTGGTCACCTTCTGTCCTCGGGAGACCTGCAAGACTGGCACCAGCAGTGCCTCCTTCAAATTGGAGGAGCCTAAGGCGCAGGGGCCTCCCACCCACTTAAAGTGGAGAGATGGGCCTGGCTAGGAAGGGGATCGGGGTCTGCTTTCTGAGTGCCTTTCCCCACCCCAGGGGTCCCAGAGGGTCAGTTTAACTTCTCTGCAGACCCCAGCCTCCCTCCCCAGTCTGCTGGAGCCTTGGATTTTATCAATGTATTTCAAGGACAGGAGGTCTTGGGGAGTTGATGCAGGTTCTGGGTTCCCATCTGGGGACTCTAGTTCAATAGCATGAGGCAGGGTTCAGCAAATGGTTTCCAAAAGCCACCTCAGGCCATCAGAATATCAGAGAGGTGGAGTGGCTGACTTTGGGATGAACAAGAGCCCTCTCTTTGTCATCTGCACTTTTCTGAGGCTGTGAGGGAGAATCTGCTTCTCTGGAGGGAAGGAAGCCAGGGTGCCTGGAGCCCCAACCCTGCCCAGTGCCGGGTACCTGTTAGCAGCAGAGCAATGCTGATGGCAGGGTTCATGGTTCTGGAAGCTCAGTCCAGGATCTGGGGTGGGAACAGGATGTGAGTCAGCCAAGGTGTGCCACACTTACCGCCAGGGCTGGGGACCCCTGGGAACATGACATAATGGCTATGGCAGACATCTGAGTCCCTCTCTCCATCCCCCCTTTCCTCCCTACTTCTCACTGAACCTGATACTGCCACTGGCTCTTTCCTGCTCAGGGAAAGCAAGGAAGGAGGGAGAACAAGCCCTGTCATAGTATGTGTCTGTGCTTGGCCATGGAGCACTTACTAGCTAGGTGACTTTAAAGTGAGTTTACCACTCTTTCTCCTCTTTTTTTTGAGACGAAGTCTCACTCTTGTTGCCCAGACTGTAGTGCAATGGTGCGATCTTGGCTCACTGCAACCTCCACCTCCCAGGTTCAAGCAATTCTCCTGCCTCAGCCTTCTGAATAGTTGGGACTACTGGCGTGAGCCACCATGCCTGGTTAATTTTTTGTATTTTTAGTAGAGATGGGGTTTCATTGTGTTAGCCAGGATGGTCTCGATCTCCTGACCTTGTGATCATCTGCCCACCTTGGCCTCCCGAAGTGCTGAGATTGTAGGCATGAGCCCCTGTGCACAGCTTCTCCTCCTCTTACAGTAACATAGTGTATGGTAATGTAAGACCTATGAGGCCTGGAGTTTCCTATTTTTTTTTTTTGAGACAGTCTCACTCTGTCGCCAGGTGCCAGGCTGGAGTGCGGTGGCGCAATCTCGGCTCACTGCAATCTCCGCCTCCTGGGTTCAAGAATTCTCCTGCCTCAGCTACCCGGGTAGCTGGGACTACAGGCGCGCGCCACCACGCCCAGCTAAGTTTAAAAAATTTTTTTTAGTAGAGACGGAGTTTCACCATGTTGGCCAGGATGGTTTTGATCTCTTGACCTCATGATCCACCCGCCTCAGCCTCCCAAAGTGCTGGGATTACAGGCGTGAGCCACCGCGCCTGGCCTCCTATTTTTTTTTGTTAATTAATGGTGGTAAAATACAAAAAGCAACAATGACGATTTTCACCATTTAAATTCAGTACTTAAATTCGGTATACTCAGCAGTGCAGAATACATTCACATTGCTGTGCAGCCCATCTCCGGAACTCTTTTTGTCTTTCAAAGGAAAACTCTGTATCCGTTAAACAAAGATTCCCCATTTTGGGACTTCCCATTTCCTGTTCAGAAGAAAATTCCTAATGCTCATAAGCGTTTCTATTTGGAGATTACTGGCATATAGCATACATTCCAAAGTTATTTATTGTGAATGAATGAATGGATCTCTCTGAATCTTAAGTACTCACCGGGTTATGATGGGGGTTAAGGAAAACAACCAACATCTGGCGATGACTGCTTCATATAAGTGAGCCACAAATCCCTAAGTCATTCGCCATCCCCGGTGAATGGCTAGAGACCATCCACCATGGCTAAGGATGCTCCCAGACAGGGAGCATCTATTCCTATCTGGAGAGGGCACAAGCTAAGCGTGTTCCTGGAGGAGGGAAAGCCACAGTGATCTCCGAGTGTATGTGAGCCAAGTATGCTTCCCAATTTCCAGCTCTCTGGAGTTCTGGCACTGCAGTTTTCCAGTCCAGTTTCAATAGCCTCCCTGACTAGGCTGTGTGCCTGGTCTTTTTTTTTTTTTTTGGCAGCCTTGTTTGAACCAACTCTTGGCGAGGCGTTACGGAGCAGGTAGCCTAGCCTGTCCGCAGAGCAGTGCTCGCCCAGGAGAGGCCACAGAAGGGGCGCGCGCCCGCGAGCGCGCGCGGGGCATTGCCTCGGTTGCGTGCTCCCGGGTGCGCAGGGCGCGCCACTCGCCGAGTTCAGGGTCTCTGGCGCTCAGCCTCTTGACGGGTGAGGCTAGGATCCCGCAGCAGCTGCAGCTACAATTAATTCTCTCTCTGTCCCGGGGTGGAGCTGCTGCCCCGGACCAGATCCAGGAGGAAAGGGGGTCGGCATCTGGTTTTTGATTCAAGGACTCTGGCTTGAGATCATGTGCAGGCTTGAGATCGGAGGGGAAGGGGGAGCAGTGGCCAGGGCAAGAGAGGGAAGAAATGGATCTGAGGCTGGAGAGGATAGAGGAGCCAGGAGAGGGGTAGAGGGCGGCTGGGGAGGTGCAGTCTGTATTCATTTCCTCTGCTCTGTGTCCTCACGGTCCAGACCCAGAAAAGGTCTGCTCTTCTTCCCTCTCCAGCCCTCGGTGGGCCTCACCCGTACTCCATTTTCGTTTTCCAGTCCTTTCCTTTTCCCATTGACTCCCCCTTCCCCCTCTCTCATCCTCTTCCAGTTCTCCCCTCCCCCGTCCGCCCGCCTTCCACCCAGTCCCCGCCTGCGGCACTGCGGTTTCCTTCTCCTGTGCCCCGCACCCAGCCCGCCGCGGGGTCACCGGGCAGAGATCCCCTCTAGCTCGCCATCCTCCGTCCTGTCCCCGCAGTTTAATCCGTCCTCCTCCCCACCTATGCGAGCTGGATTTGGGGAATCTGGGTGGTGCATAGAAGCACAGGCTGTCCTTGGTGTCCTTCCTCCCTGTTCTCCAGCGCCCCAGCCCCAGACACCCGTCCTCCGGTGGGTGAAAGCCCCGGAGTGCCTTCCCCGAAAGGCGTCGGGGTGCGGCGCGGCCCCTGCCAAGTAGAAGCATCCCACTCCTGCCCCTGCCTGGAAAGCAGGCCCCTCCCTAAGCTCTGCGCCCTCCTTCCCCGGGCGCCCTCCGACCGTGGCCCGAAGTCTAGTGTTGGGACGGCTTGCCTGGGCGTTTGACGGCTGTCCCGAGCCCCAGGTCCCGCCGGCTCCAGTTTCCACCTGGACTGGGGTCTTCCGCTGCTGCAACCTCCTCCGAACGCGCCGCCGCCCGTTGCTGCACCCAGCTCGGAGCCCGCAGTTTTCACCAGGGATGGAGGAGAGGGGGAGTGTAGAGCCGGGGGCTCAGCCAATCAGAGGCGGAGATGGGGAGAGCAAGGATGCAAGGTGGGGTGGGGGGTGGGGAAGGAAGAGAAGGCGGTCCCTTATTGGTGTGGGAGTGGCAGGTGGCGGTAGAAGGGGACCCTCACCCTGTGCTGGCAGGCCTGGCCAGGGACAGGAGAGTTCGGGACCCCAGGGTTCAGGCTGGGGCATCCCAAAGAACAGTAGCCTCCTCCCCGAGCCCCGCGATGGTCGTTCCCCTTTTAAGGCTTTAACCCTTTCTTCAGACCTATTCTTCAGAAGTCTGTGGGAAAACCAGAGTGTAAGCGGTGCAGGATGCAGGCCCGGAGCGCCCACGCCTCCGCATTTCCTTTTCAGCTGGAGCCCACCTCCTCCGGAGCCTTGAGTGAGAGGTTTTGGAATATTCCAGTCTTTCTGAAAGGAAGCTGGCTGGGTGTTTCTCAGTGTCGGAGCAGGCCTTCCAAGCAAGGCAGGCCCTGCACCCGCCCTATCCGTCCCTAGTCCCTAGCCCCATTTCGCCCCCTCATCTATTCCAGAGCACCCGGCTCCTCAGAGGGCCTGCAGGCGCTTTCTGCTCTGGACATCACGTCTTCTTCATCTCCTGGGCTGGCACCTTCTGGCCCAGACAGCTGGAAGTTTCTTCTGGCTTTCCTGAGTACAGTCTGCTTGTTTGGTCTTCAGACCAGGGAAGGAGTGTTGCCTCTGAGCAGGCACTGTGCTGGGCACATTATATTCATGGCCACCGTTACCCCATGGCCACCTGCTGGGTTTATCTCATCTCAATCCTCATCCCCTGTCTTGGCTGGTAAGTGGGAGAGCTGGCGAATTGACCTAGGCGGTGGAACCCCAGCTCTCAAGGGTGAGCCATTCCTCTCCCTCATCCCAGCCCAGTGGGAGAGGAGAGAGAGGAACTCTGGGAAAGAAGAGGAGACAGCCCCACAGAAAGGATTAGATTGAGGCCAGCTCCTGATCACCTGGGACACTCCTGATAACCCACCAATTGGATGTCACCAGAAGCCCTAGGCTCATTTTTGTAGACAGTGCTGATGACTTATCTCCCACTCACAAGCATGGTGAATTTTTTAGAATTAATGTTTGATTGATTTGTATCTTTCCCACCTCTTTATGAATTCTGGTTCGACATTCTGTGGGCCGGGCCGGCCTCCCCGCTATGGGCCTGCCTGTTCTCCTGTTTCTTCATGGAAATCAGCTCTGGCACCCTTCCTGCAGTATCAGAAACTGCAGTGGCACTGTTGGAAGCCACTGTTGGAAGCTTGCAAATGGGAGATTTGCTTGGTTTCCCAGCATTTAGAGTGATGGAGCATGCTTATTGGAATGAGCCTTGCAGATGGTTAGTCCAAAGGGGTTATTCCCTTTGGCAAACCACAGAGGCTTCTAGGGCATTTTATGGAAAATGCAGCGGGCCTTGCCCATCTAGGACCTCCTTAATCTAGTACTAGAGCCAGCAGAGTCTGTACTTTTCTCACACTCCCCAGGATCTGGGGACTCTAACACATGATCTGGTAAGACTGTCCCTCTTTATAGGTGAGCTGACCTGGCTTCTTGTTCATAGGGTGCTTTTAAATGCCATGGATGTCCTCGCCCCTGGCTGCTGACCTTCCTCGTACCCTCAAATCCATCCCAGCCATCTTCCCATTCATCTATCTGCTGCATTCCAGACACGCCGGCTCTGGCTTCTCTCTGTCACTTCATGGCAGTGTGCTCCTTCCTACTTAGCAGCTTTCTGATTCTGAGTCCAGGGCTCTTAACTGCGGAAGGCATCTGGGCTGTGCTGGCTGAGACCCTGGATGCTCTGTTTCCCACTCTTTGGCCCTGTCTCTGAGTGTTGCTGGCTGGAAGGCCTGGCAGTGCTATTTTGATAAGGTTATGAGGACCTGGCCTAATTTCTGGGTCCCCAGGCACCTTGCTTTCAGGAAGGGAAGGGAGTAGAGACTGTAGAAGGTGTGGCAATTCCGTGTCTGCTAAAGCAAGATCTCTGATTGGATGGAATTAATGGCTCAGATGAGACATCTGAGGTCAGGGGCGAGGGCACAAAGTGGTGGAGGGAGGAGATTTAAAAACTCCATTTACTGTGGACAGGATAGAGGAGGTGAAAGCAGCAAGGCTTTAGAGGAATCTGGCTAAGGCAAGACGTCCTGCCAGAAGGCTGTGGTGGCCTTGTTGGTCGCTTAGACCTCTCTTCTCCCACCATCTCCTGTTGTCCCACTCAGAGACACATGGCGATAAAAACTCTTCTAAAAACGCACAGTCCTTTAGGGTGATCTAGGGACTGCCAGCTATTCACTTGTTTTATCAGATTGTCTTTGTAGAATTACAGAAATGGCTAAAGCTGCCTCATCTTTCAAATTATATTTTATTTTTGAGACAGAGTCTCACTTTGTTGCCCAGGCTAGAGTTCAGTGGTGCAATCACCGCTCACTGAACCCTTGACCTCCTGGGCTCAAGCAATCTTCCCGCCTCAGCCTCCTGAGTAGCTGGGACCATAGGCACTTGCCACTCTGCCTAGCTAATTACACTTTTTTTTCCTTTTTGTTAAGATGGGATCTCACCGTGTTGCCCAGGCTGATCTTGAACGCCTGGGCTCAAGCTGTCCTCCCATCTGGACTCTCAAAATGTTGGGATTACAGGCACGAGCCTCTGCACCTGGCTTGCCCCACCATTTTATAGCTGGGACCCGAGGCCCAAGAAAGGTAATGGTTTGTCAAGGTCAGACAAGTATTTAGAAGCATGGTCTGGACTATTAGATCTTAGGTCTCCTGACTCCGTGTACACTGCTGTCTAGTGCTCCCAGGGTGGGCCCTCAGATCTCTGCTAGAATCATTTTTCTGGTTCATGGTAAAATGAGTGAAACAAGGACAGTGCAGTTTACATCGAGGTGATAGCTGTCAGGTTATCACCTTGTTTTGGTTTTTTTATTCTTCACCCTACTGATGAGGGAGAGATTCCCACCCCCTAAAGTTATGAGGTTCATGATATGACCTCAACACTGGACGAATGAGCTCAGCAGCGGTTTATTAGTCACATATAGTCATACCTGGAGGGATACACTGCTTGCAATGAATTGCTACATAGGAGTTGCACTAAGAAGCAGAGTGGAGATTACCAGGAACTATCAGAGGCAGGCTTTGTAATGTCAAAATGGTGGAATGCCCCCTGTTTTCTATAAGAGGATGTGATTGGCTGTTTGAGTAATTCTGTGAGCTGGCAGGTGCTGAATCCCACTAGTCAGGGATGAGCGGAAATTGTGCCTGGCTGCCACAGTGAGAGTTGTTTGGCTGGGGCACCTCATCCGCAAAGTAAGGAGGGGACCTGGCAATTAGGCCATTTGTGGTCTCCCTGCTATCAAGGCAGCCATAATATTGAGCTCTAATCTTTGACTAATTGAGACTATGTATTTGCCTTTCCTATACTTCCATTCGAAGGTTGTACCTTTCCACTTTTCTGAAGGAGGAGGTAGTAGATGGTGTGTGTGTGTGTGTGTATTTAATGTCCTACTTTATAAAAAAAACATTGGCCACTTTCTCTTAATCCTCAAACTTCTTTGGAAATGTGATTGAGTCCATGAAATGAAAAATCTTGAAATCACTGCTCTGCACTCTGCTACCTCTCCTAACCTCTAGTTGAAGACAACTCCCTGAGTGAGGTCAGCTCCCTGAGGAGCTGCATGTTGGGTTGGAGAATGTGACAAATAAAAACTAAACATTATCTGTTGGAATGCAGGGCAGAAGTTGAGAGAAAGCACCAATAGAGATATAATTTAATCTTTGATAGTTATTTATTTAAAAAAGTTTATTCACGGATATTTTAATTGATCAAATAATTAAGACATTATTGGCACCAATAATGTTCCAGGCACAGGGCTAGACTCTAGGTATACAAAGATCAATAGAACACAACCTGAAAGGTTCCAATGGCAGAAACAGAAATGATACATGGACGTTTAGAAAAAAATAGGGCAGACACAGTGGTAGGAATGTGTAAAGGGTACCGTGGGAGTCCAGAGAAGGGATAGATGATGACCCAATCCGTCAGAGGGGGCTTTTTGGAGGCTAGGCATAAAAAGAGCTTGTAAAGATAAATTTGAGTTGCCCAGGTATGGTAGACTGTCACATCAATGGCCTCCAGTGAGTCATGCCTCCCGGTGCCCATGCTTTTGTGCGATCCCCTTCTGCACTGACTCTGGGCTTGGCCATGTGCCTTGCTTTGGCCAATGGGCCATCAGCAAATGTGATGAAAGCAGAAGCTTGTGAAATGTTTGTACATGACGACTTGCTTTTTTGGAGTTCAGTTGCCACTTGAGGAAGTCTGAACTGTCTCAGTTTACATCAATCACCATTTGGCATCTGCCAGCCCCCAGTTGACCTTCCACGGGACCGCACAGGCATGTGATCACAAAGGCATGCGTAATTCCAAGTGATGCCATACAGAAGAGAAATGAACCACCCAGATAAGGCTACTGTGGTGATTCTAAAACATGGACACAAATTCTTTGACATTCCTTCATCAAGAGGTGACATCTATGTCCCCTTGTCTTAAATCTCAATGGGCTTGTGACTGCTTCAGCCAATAGAGTAGGACAGATGTGATGCTAGGAGACTTCTGCACTGAGGCCTTACAAGGCCACATAGCTTCTGTGCCTTTTCCCAGAACAATCACTCTTGGAGCCAACATGGAAGACATCTGGGTATCCACCCTGCAGCCACCATGCCTGGCTCCAGGCAATTTCAAGTAAGGAGGGACTCGTAGGTGGCTGGAACAAGGATGACTCGTGTTAGGGAGTGGTGGAACAGTTGGCCAAAACAAAGTTGTTCATGGTAACTCTGACAACAGAAGATGTGCCTAATGAATTTGTAGATTTGGCTAAAGGGACCTGGAGACAGAATGCTCAAAGTGTCGTTTGAGTGTTCCTAATTGGCATGATAAAGTATTACAAGAGAGCTGAGCTACAAAAGGACCTGCTCAGTTTTTTAGGTGGAAAGAAAACTGGTTTTCATTGCCATTCTATTAGGCAGTGGGCTCTTAAAATTAAAACTGGCCTAAAGGTAAAGATCAAATCAAGGGTATGATTTTACAACCTCTGTTAAGACCCCAGGAGACTTAAATGGTGTTCAGTAGACCTTCTTGACAAAACAGAAGGGTTTCTAAGAATGCTAAGGACGTTGTCCTTGCCAGACACTGTGGCTCATGCCTGTAATCTCAGCGCTTTGGGAGGTCGAGGCAGGAGGATTGCTTGAACCCAGGAGTTTGAGATCATCCTGGGCAACATGAGACCTCATCTCTTCAAAAAATAAAAAGCTAACTGGGCATGCTGTCACATGTCTGTGATCCCAGATTACTTGGAAAGCTAAGGTGGGAGGATCTCTTGAGCCTGAGAGGTTGAGACTTCAGTGAGGCACTCCAGCCTGGGCAACAGAACAATTCCCTGTCTTTAAAAAAAAAAAAAAAAAAAGACATTGTCCTATTGTCCTGTAGCTGAAGTGGAGTCTTTTTGAAATTAATTATGTATGTGGTTTTTGATGCATGAAGTGGACCCCAATAATATTCACAGAAAACCCATAAAGTTTTAAGGAATATTGTATTGACAAAAGCTCCACCAGTTTGAAGTAAAAGGAACTGAAACAGTTCAAAAGGAAAAGAAGCCTCTGGGCCTCCAACTGTCTATGTGCAGGGAGCTGGCCCCTATACACAGGTCCTTCTCTTAGGGAAAGAAGGATCTCTTGGAAGGCAGAACCACCAGCGCAGAGAGTGTAACTAAGAGCCAGGGAGAACTGGGTCCTGTTCAAGTAACATTCCCTGCCTCTAGCACAGGGGTCCCGATGACGTGAACCTGCCTGGATTTCAGAATTGCTTTGAATTCGTGATTGCTATGTGCCTCTCATTT